ACTATATGAATAAGTCAACAAATGACCTTGGGTCCCTCGTGAGAGGGACAAAAACAAATTTTACTGCTCATCCAGTACATGCCAGGCCCTATACCAGACACAGGGTATCCACAAAGAGTAAAACAGTTGTGGTCCTTGCTTCCCTGGAGTTTAGAAGTCTACTGGTGAAGTAGACCTTAAACAACTAAAAGCACACTGTGACAGCTCCCTCCCCTGAGGGAATGGTCGATATGCTAATATAATGGAGTCACAAAATCAAATATATTTGAGGGCTGGTCAGGTATTACAACGTATGAAGAACAGAGAGTAAGTAATAAAGAGTAGTATGTCTATGGCAAAACAGAAAGTACAAGCTTGAGCCAGAAATGTATATTATTCTTTAATGTATTGTATTGACGATTACACAAAGCATATGATAGGCTGGATCCAGCCTGCTATATGCCATCTAACCTGAAAAGGATGCTTCAGAATGTGATTTGTTTTTTCAAATTGTGGACTAGTGCAATATACCATAGGATTTAAAGATAAACAGACTACTTTCTCATAGAAGCCAAATCTTAGTAGGTTTTCTATAAATACTTCATATTCCTTCTTCCCTATATAATCTGATGTCTTTGGGAGGTCTTTAGCAAGTTTATACGCTCAAGCTGAACCATTTTATTAACTGACCTTGAAATCTTGCCGTTCTCTTAATAAGAGAGGAAAAATTAACTGGACCAAAAGAAAATATTACCAGCTTTGGACCAGAAAGTGCCAAATATGCAGGCACTTCTTACTGAAAATCCTCTGGGTGTTTATGTTCTTTCTCCTGAGCAGCTCCTAAGCTCATATGCATTCACCACCAAAGTGCATTCTTAATGCTCTTGGCTACAAGCACTTGCTGTCTTATTTCTACCCGTAAGCATAGAGAAAGAACAATATTATTTTTTAAATACTGACATCATTCATCTTATTTTTATTACGTTTGGCTATGAAGCAAGGAAGACAATGAAATTAAATATACCACTGTACTTTCTCTCACAGAAATGTTATGACTTGAGAGCCTGAATAAAGGCACCAGATCAGAGCCACACATTTCTACACTGTTTGTAAGAAAATGTTTTTGATAAACTGCACTGTTAATGATAGAAATAACATAAAAATTTTATGTGGTCATTGACTTATAAAGCAAAGTTGGAAATATTTATTATAGTATCTTAAATTGTACATTATTTGTCAATCTCAAGTGGCGATTAGTAAACATTTGCTGTCCTAAAATAAATAAACTACTAGGCTTACATGCTTTTCATAATAAATTATTGCACAACAGATCTCAACTTCTGTCTCTACTAACAAGGCAGCTGCGGCAGAGAAAGGTAACTGTCTACCTAGTATCTATTCTCTTTCTTCCTTATTAATAAACTCGTATTTCAGTGGATGAAGAGGGGCAGCAATGTAGCACCTTAAAAAAATATTTCCCAGCTTTCTATGGAGACAGCCATGTAACAGAATCCTGATCAAGGAGATTATGTGGAAGCTGCTGTTTGGGGCTTAAGGAAAAAATCTTTAAAAGAGTGACAGACCTGGTTCTGTCAAAAAGAGATACGCCAAAAAGAAGTCTAGGCTCTTGGAAGGTTCAGGCTCACGGAAGGTCCAGGCTCATGGGACGTAACTTCTAAAAGCTTGGAATTTCTCAAATGACAGGGACATCTTTGTTATTCATGGTGGGCCCCTCCAACCACATCTGACAGTTTATGCTTACATTTTGGGTGACTCATGGAAGGGCCCTAGAAAATTTATGCTAATAAGAGGACTAAGCATGGGAGCTGGCCAACGCAGAAAGACCAGCCATGTAATTAAAGGATAGGGGTGTTGAGCCAGGTGATATCGATCCAGTCTCAGGGGAGGGAACAACAGAAGGCTAAAGACTGAGTTCAACCAAGTGGGCGATGATCCAATCAATCATATATACATATGATGAAACCCCAGTAAAAACTCTGGACACCAAAGCTTGTTGAAATGCCTGGGATGGTGATGGGTACTACTACAGATTGATGCTGGGAAGGTAATATATCCCTGAGGACAATGCAAGCTTCCTGTTTGGAACCCTCTCAGTCCCAGATTCTGCCCAATGTATTTCTTCCTTTGGCTGGTTCTGATTTATATCTGATTTGCATCCTTTTGCTATTAAAAAAAAAGAACTGTAATTGTAAGTATAACACTTTGCTACATGCCTGAGGAAGTCTATGGGGACCCCCAAATTTGTAGCCAACTGGTAGGAAGTGAGAATGGTTCTGGGGACCCCCAAACTTGCAGCTGGTGTCAGAATCTTGGGCAGACTTGGCAGTCTGGAAGACTGTTCCCTTAGCCTCAAGTCTGGCTGCCTTTGTCTTTTCTCTTCTCTTTTCTGGACACAACACTTGATGTAGAGCAGCCATCTTGTGACAACACGGTGGCAACCATATGCCAGGTATATCAGACAGGGTTCAGTCAGGGACACAGAACCCACTCTAAGTATTTCAAAAAGGATTTAATGCAAGGACTTAGGCGCTTACACACTGGAAGACCAAAAGACTGGGAACATCACTGCTAGCTTTCAGGTTTGCCACCACAACTATAGTCCAAAGAATCAGGAGGTTGCTATTGCTACTCAGGATAGGAAACTGCAGGAAAAAGGAACTACAGAATGAAGACATGTGATTCAGAATGGAACGCCCAAAGCAGATGCAAAATCTCACAACTGGCAAGGCCCAGGCATCTGCCCACCACTGCCAGAGGAAAATAATGTGGCTTTTTTTCCTCCCTCCAGTCTTCACAGGCAGAAAGTAAATCACAGCCAGAACCCCACAGTGAAAGTAGTCCAGGAATATTTTATTCAGTGAAAACATTTATGTCATTCTGTCTCTTGATCTTAAACTTTTTCCTAAAAATTGTATATTCAAAACTACCATGTTGCTTGGTATATACGGCAAAGCTTTTATCACATATATGAACATATGTATTGTCAGGAGTTTATAAATAATATTTTGGGAGACTATTTTCATTTTTCTTCCAAATTCTGAAATCCTAAAAGGTATGAATTAACAAAGCCTCTTAATGGAGGAAGGAATATGACAGTTGCTGCTATGCCATGAGCAGCCACTAAAGGTATACAGCTTAATTATGTGCAAAAGTGATTTGATGCCAAGAGTTAATGGTCTCTGGACATTTTTGCTCAGATATCCTCATCAATAAAAATGTCTGAGCATAAACTTCCAATATATGTATATTTATTATTTATTTTTATTATTCACAAGTGCTACTGTACTAATATAAATACTATAGAAATGTAGAGAAAAATTAAAAAATGAAAAACATTTGCTTAAATAAAATACTACAAAAATACTATTCAATATTGAACATGGGCCATTTAAAATTTTTTTATTTTGTGTAATTTTTCTATTGAGATAAACTTCACATGACATAAAATTCACCATTTTAAAGTGTACAGTTCAGTGGTTTTTAGTATATTCACAATGTTGCACAACCATCACCTCTAATTCCAGAATATTTCCATCACCCCCAAAAGTAACCCCACACCTGTTAGCAGTCACTCCCAATTCCTCCCTTCCCCATCCCCTGGCAAACATTAGTCTACTTTCTGTCTCTCTATATTTGTCTATTCCAAACATCTCATATAAATAGAATCATACAATATGACTCCTCATCTTCTGATATGTTTGTTTAGCAGTTTATGAAATGACAATTTGAAAACTTTCCAAAATCAGTTTTTTGGTTCATGGTTTTAATTGTGATCATATCTGGAAAATAATAACAAAGAGCAATAGATCCAAGCAGAGGCACATCATCTCTTTCAGTCCTACCCATCAACCATTTTGTTGAAATCTGGCTAGGAGAGTACTCATTTTCTCAAAGTATTCTTACAAATAAACCAGAAGGTGTTGTATTTTCATATTTTTAACAATCAGTCTCAAATTCTCTTCAACCATTTTCACAAATTTTAAACATACCTGAAATTTCTGATTCCAGATTTTAAAGTAAGAAAATGGTAAGAGTTTTGTAATAACACAGGCATGTAGTTTTCAGTCACAAAATCACATAGTAATGTTTAAATTGCTAAATGTTTCAAACATCCTTCTCTATAACATGAATTTATTTCCCAAAGTAGTTGCTTTGTCATCCATTATCATAACATTAATTTTTGCTTGAAGGACAGATTAGTGTGTTTATTTTTTTAAAATATCTTGATATGTAACATCCTGTGACAGCAGACTTTATGAACCACCCATCTATCCTATGAAGATTTAAAACTAGATAACCTGTAAATCCACTTAATCTAACACAAGCAAACTGCAAGAAAACTGAGTATTCTAAAAGCGAATATATGAGCGTGAGCACCACTGTTATTCCATTCCAAGGTGTGCAAATCCCTTCTTCCCCCAGGTCACTCCTGAACTACACAGGACAAGTGGCCATCAGACCCAAGGACCTAGCATGGCACAACAAATATTAGTATAGCTGAATAACATTTTGCATTTGTAACTTAAAAAATGCAAATGGAACTTTAGACATCTCTGCCCCCAGCATCAATGGATCATCTTGCACATTCCACTATAGAAAATACTAATCATAAAAAATGGTATGAAGGTTTTTTCTTTAAAAAAAAATGAATGAATTTAGCAGTGACTGAATATACTAGGCACTCAGAAAATATTTGTGAAAGGGAGGGCGGCAAAGAGGTAAGGAAGGGAAGAAGGAATCAGAGGGGCTAAAGAATTTTAAAAGTTGATATAGCCTGAGGAATAAAGTCTTACTTATCAAAAAAATTATTTATGAATAGAGATTTTCTATAAAACAAACAAAATGTTACCATTATGTTAAAATCCATGATTTATTAGAGTAATTAAGAAATTAGGAGATAAGACCTAAGAAGAGAGCCTAGGATCGAGGATTACCTTTACCTGTGCTCTAAAATCAATGTTTTGGGCATAAGCAAAGGAATTTACATTGGAACCAGAGGCTCCTGACAGGATAAGGATATGGGCAAGTATCCACATCATTTAAGTGTAAGGTTACATAAGCATAGGAGGCCTTATAATTTCATTTTAAGTTAATTTGACTTTAAAATTATACTAGAGTACAGTTATACTGTGTACAACTGTACATAAATCTCATACAGTAAGAAAGGTTAATTGAGAGTACTTGAAATATAAGTATATTCCAACTTAGTAAACAGTTATAAAGTTACTTGAACAAAAAAATGAAAGCCAAGGCGTTAAGTGTTCATAGATCACTACAGTGCATTGTTTATCACTGTCCAACAAGTGTTTAGAACAAAAGGCAACTATTCACTGAACAACAATAGAGTTTTTAAAGAAGTTCAAAGCATTTATGACTTACTGGAGCTATGAAAACAGGATTTACTTCATATACTGTTGCATGAGAATAATATGAAAAGATCTCCTACCTTTGTGATAAGAAGTCGGTACCTATCCAGCATTGCCTGGTTGTCATGGCAGCCTGCTAATAATTGCCATACCTCTGCCCTCAATGCTTCAGGAACACCACTCTTCACCAGAGTAGATAGCCCTTTTGGTCGCACACCAAGATTATTGTGCCTGAGAAAACAATAAAATAAACCATTCATACTCCCTTCACCACTGCTGACCTGCTGTTGTTATGAAAAGTATATTGATGAGTTTATATAAAAGTGCAAGACTGGATCAGGAGAAAAATGGCAGGGAGGGGCATGAAATAATAATAGTAGTGTTTAAGTTTAGTAATGTCTTCAACTTTTTTTCTTGATTCCATCTTCTTTATTAGTGAACCATGTTATTCCACCCACAAGGAAAGTTCTTTCTTCTCCTCATTTACTTTTTAATCATCCTATGAACCTACTCATAATAATGAATGTGTTAACTATATATTTCTAGGCAGCATTCCAAGGCATAAAAAGAGCCATTTGAATCCCCTGAGATGAATGTATGACAAGTTGGCTAATGACGTGTGTATGGTAAGTGCTGGGGGCAAGGGATGCTGAAAGTAGATCAGGGGCCTATCACACCTTGACTATATACCTCTACATCCTGACCCAAAGTGCTTCCTAAAGCAAGAACCTAGACCTTTCCTCCAAAACATATACAACCTATCCAGCTCCCCAGCAACATACACTTATCAGCCTTACCCATTTCCAAGGGTGTTTAGAATTGGAACAATGAAAAATACATTGTCATGAAGTCAATGATCACATAGTAGGTATGCTACTATGATAATCTGCCCAACTGAACAAGAAACTGAACTGTAGTTCCCAGTCTATGCCTAGCTTGAACCTGGAGCTATGTTCTATGCCTTTTTGTTCAGACTTTATCTCTACTTTGCTGCACACCTTTGATCTCTTAGAGCTGATCCTAGCGTAATCATCTGGACTCCAAACCTTAATGATGTACTCTGGTTTGGTCTAACATCCCAGGTTCTGGTTTCAAGTTTTAAGCCTGAAAAGTCATAGAAACCATATGTCTATTTTCTAAAATTGGCCTCCCATCTACTTTACCTCCTTCTCTGTCTTTACACACTCTTCCAGCTCCAGGCCAGACCTCAGTTTTGGCATGCCCTTCATCTGAAAATATGTTCCATGCTTTCCCCATCCGCTCATAGTCCAGCTATCTTGGAAAAATTGTAATAAGTTCCATAACTCGAAAGTTCAAGTAAACTCATCTCATTAATATCTTTAATAAACCATCAAATGTATGACCATTCTGCTTTCTTTCAGCCTCATAAAGGAAAACGTTTATATTGTTGAGTTAGGGAACCTAAGCTGATAATACTGACAGGCTTGAAGCAAAACAAAGTAAAAAGAGGTAGAGCTTACATGATTTAACATGCTACGACACCATTAACATAATTATGCTGCTAAGTGAAAAAAGCAGGTTTCAAAATAGTATATATGGTATTATTTAAAATACACATTCTCTCTCTCACACTCTCTCCCTAACACATACTATTTTGAAACCTGCTTTTGACATGCATAGGGAAAGAATATGGAAGAATAAACTCCAAAATATCTATGTAATGGAATTGAGAGAAAGTACTCCTTTTATTTTCCTATACTGTTTGAAATATTTACAACGGTCTTGAATGTTTTTATAATAATACACCAAAAAACCCATTTCAGGTCTTTAAATTTCTCTCATGGACTTCAATTAAAATATAAATTGAGTTAATTTGGAAAAACACCATAGCTAAATATGTTCCATAAAATATGTCAAGTAGATAGAGCATTAATTATTCTTGAGAAGACTTATACCTGAGTAAACTGTATGACACATGGATTTCCTTCCTACTGCCTCTTCTTCACTATCCAACTGAATTTAAGATTAGCAAAAGAATACTGCACCACAAGAGAGCCAGGATCAGTCATAAAAGGATCTTTTTTGTAATTTATTATTTGATTCTGATTACACTTTTGAATAGGAAAAACGTATATGGTTTGAGGGCTAGGAAAGTTTCTGTACTCTTAATGTAAAAAAAGAAATGAGTTAACTAAAAACAACAGTGTGCAAAGGGCTAAGCTCATTTCCTACGAAATTAAATGCAAAATACGCTGAATTATGAGTCCCATAATGTACAATATCATATAAGAATTCAAATTAATTAAATATATTACATATTATACAGAAATCAAGGTCATCACTGTGTATCTATAGCTATTAAAATTCCAATAAATATCTCCTATAAAAGAAACCTTTATTCCACCCCACATCACACTTTAGATATCATACTGTCTCCTACCTTGCACATCAAGTTTCTCTAAAGGATCGCTGTATACTCAATCTCTATTTCTTCCCTTCACACTCATTCCTCAGCTCAACTCAACATGGCTTCTCTATCTCTCCTAGAAACAGTTTTCACTTAAGCAATACATGACCTCTCTATGCCACTAAATTCAAAAGACATTTTTCACTCCTTTCACTGTTGACCACTTTGTTTCCCTCGGCTTCAATAACAAAGCACTCTCTTTTCCTCCCACCCACAAACCCCACTGATGATTGCTTCTCCTCTATTAACCTCTTAAGTATTCTGAGCTTTTAATCTCTCCAGTTTCCCTCAGTGATCTAATTCTCTTCAGTCTCTTGTCTCTGGGCATTGTCATCCATGTCCATGTATTCTGAGCTCCAGAAATCAACGTGCTCAAATCTAAACTCATATTCTTTCTCCCTAAACCTCATCGTTTTCCAGGGTATCCTACCTCAGTGATTGTCACTACAATCCAACCAAATTAGAAACCTAGGAGTTATGGTTGACATTACTCTCTGTCCCATAATCCATTACTAATCCATCAAGAAGTCTAATGCATTTTATTCTCCCAACCTGTCCAAAATCCATGCACTTCTACTTCCACTACCACCAACTGTAGTCACTCTACAACCTCTACAATGACCTCCTAACATCCACTCATCCTACTACGATATGCTTCCAATACGGCAGACAAAATGAAGAGGACAAACAGCTTGATTAAGTGTTATGTTGGCTCAAATTACTCTGTATAATGATTTATATAAGATTTTGAATCTGGAATATCTCTTCCTACTCATGCATACACACACCTTAAGGTTAATAGTCAACAGTCCCTAATACACATTTTACCATAATATGATTCAACTCAACCAACATTCAGCTTCTAGCTGACCCTCAGCCATCTGTTTGGCTGGGTATAATAGAAAAGTCTTTTCTCCTCTCTTAAAAACCCAGGCACTATTTATCTTTACAGACTGACATTTAAAAAGAACTATGTCATTCATAACACAACATGATTAACAGCTTTAATTTACTGATTATTCTTGTAATGACACAGTAATTATATTGCATACAGCACTCTAGTACTTAAGAGATACTAGTGGATACTAAGCTAAATGCTACTAGTATACATCTATGACCAGAGAAGACCCAAACAAAAGAACAATCTATAGAAATAATCATTGTTTCAACATTTCTAATAAAAATATAACTATATATGGCCATTGCTTTAATAGTGCACAGCATTAACTGCAGCTATCAAGAGACTTGGAAATGGGCTAGTTATGACAGGTGCCGAACTCTGCACTAGAAGCAAGATAGTTATCAAATTATTCAAAAAGTCACACATAAACCAGACATATACTAAACAAGTAGTAATCGGGCAGTTTTTAATGCATGAATATAAACTCCACAAGGGCAGGAATCTCTGTCTTCTTTAGTTATATATCCCAAGCACCTAGAACAGTGCCTGGCATATAAAAGGTCTTCAATACATTTTAGGTAAATGAAGAGATTTATGAAACTAAATTAATATGATCAACTACTAAGGCTAAGCTAAAGAATGCTTTTTTAAAAGCAAACATTCTCATTGATTCTAATAGCATCATAAAGCTGTTTTATATTCATCTAGTTACCTTCAAAGAGGCATCTTTTCTTGAAACTATCTGGGCATGTAAGAACTTTCTCTATTGTTAAAGCTGTCCAGAAGAGAATTTCAAAGGGAAGGTATCATTTCTAACAAAAACAGCAGAGAAATCAAGAGATGAGAAGAAAAGCCATTGAATGAAACTGAGTGGTCACTGATGGAATTAGGAAAGTTTTGACAGAGGGGAGGTGGAAGTAAGTGGTTAGAAGATATGAGAATGTGAGGGCAGCAGCCTGACCCATGTTAAAAGGTTTTCTCAGAAAAGGGAATAGCTAGAACTGAAACTAAAAGATGGAGAACATCAAGTAAAGTTAGGCATTTGTCCTTCCCCCATTAATGATAAGACCTAGATATGTCAACCTAGGTCTTACTTTAAGTTAAACAAGCTACATGAAGAAAAGTTTCAAGAAAAGAGACACGTTAAAGGTCACTGGGTAAATCAAGAACACATATTTTAATCTGATTTGTATATGTTTTTGCCGGGTTTTTTCATTAGTCAAAAAAGTGGAACATTATATTGATGTGAAAAGGAAGGAAGCTATGGATGTTCATGCTTAGTGATTCAAATCCTTCATGTTTCCCAAGTTTAGATTTTCTTTTCCCCCTGTCAAGTCTGCTGATGCTCAGCTAGGTTGAGAAACCATGGATTAAGAACACATTTTCCCACTGTGATAATAAGTATAGCTATGAAAAATATAATCAAAGTGCCTATTAAATGCATACTGACTTTCTGAAAGTCTCATAAAAGAGAATGAATAGTTTGAAGATGGTTTTATTTATATATAATAAACTATACTCAATTTTTACCTCAGAGGTTCATTTCATTTTTTTTGGTTAGAAAATCTTCCTGCCACAAAAGCTGACTTACATCTAAGGGTTCAGCATCAGCACTCTGCTTTCTTAAGCTATCCAGAAATAATTCTGCCCCAATTCCTTAAATTCTTTAAATAATTTAATGTATAAGTCATCAGCATTACCATTCTGAATATATTCAGGAAAAAGAAATCTTGCTACCACTTCAGTTTGTTTCCAAGTCCTCCCTTCACAAACATCTCCTCATTTCCTCTCTCCCTGACCCTCTCCCTCTCCTCTCTCAATCCTTGTTTCCTCATTTTTTTTTATTTAGTTCTTTCATCAAGACACCTTAACTCCAGTCTTGTATGAAGACCTCCACCACTGAACATTTTATAGTCTGTTTTCCATTTTCTTTTCCATAGTATCCTTATTTTTTTCTGATTAGTTCAAATTAGTATTAAATAGTCTTCCTTTATATCTTTCTAATAGTATATTTCATTATCTGAATTCTGATTTTATCCATAAAAGCTTCACTTTATTTTAATAGAGTGATCTAGTTGCTTTATAATAAGTTGAAAATACTTTCAACTATGTTTTATTTAAAAGTGCCTTGAGAACACAGGCTGTCTCCTCATAAAAATCTCCCCAAAGCACAAAATGTAGTTTTTTCCCCAAAAGGTGCTTTACCTAAATAAATCACAAAAATATCTTCATGTAAGTCCCTAAGCTAGTATTCCTAAGACTCACTGAAAAGCTCTAAAAAAGATGAATGTTTAAAAAAGATATTCCAAGAGCAATTTAAAAATTTTGTCAATTCTTGTGTAATAGATATAAACTCTCAAACAGGCAAATTTTATTGTTTTCATATGAATTGTCATGACACAACTGCAATAATAAGCCAAATAAAATAAAAAATACATATTGAATTGTAAAAGATCCAGCAAGTTTTATAAAGGTCTAAAAATCAGTTATCTTAGTCCTTTAAAATAGTTCCCTCAGATTCTTTCAATGAGTTTCTTGAAGTCCACTACTAAAAATATAATGTAGAAAGATGGTATTTTATTTCTGCAAAAAATGTACACTGAATGATAGCTGAGAAATCCCATCAACTCTACTTCAGAATTCTTTCTCTGTTTGGAACTCCTCTCCATACAAAAGACCCATGAGTTTGGTATAGGCCTCATCAACCCATGCAATTACATCCTAACTACCTTCTCTATTAATAGTTTCTTCCTACTCCAAAATCACCTTTCTAAATAATAAAAAGCATCATAGCAATTTCACCTTTAAAATATTTGTTGGGGATTTTCTTTATCACATTTATTGTATTTTTTTTTCTACTTTTGTGTTCATTCGAAAATTTCCATTGGGTCCTCAGTGCTAACAGAAGCATTTATCCATTATGTCACAATTATCTGTTTAAATGTCTATATGCCTCTATAAGATGGTAAACTCTTTGGGGGTAGGAATTATCTCCTATTCATATTTAAATCAGCATACAATTCCTAAGAGAGAATAGATGAATTTTTTAAGTTGGGTAAAAAATCAAGTGATTGTCACTTTGTAAAAAAGAAATTTCTTAACCATTTTCTTAACAAAATGGTTAAGAAATTTGAAACAACCTCATTGTTTCAGTTATTTTGTTAAAATGGTCTGTTATGAATGTATATTCCCACCCTTCTTGATTATGAACCTCAAAGGTAGGAACTGTGTATTTATCTATGTATCTCCTAGAACCTAAGAGGATGCTGTATATTGAACCAAGTTATAAATCTTGCTTTTTGTAAATAAAGATCTCAACTGGCTGTTTAATTAGTCATAAAAATATTTTGTTTTCTTGTCCACCATACTGCCATTCTCATGATCTCTCTTTAAACTCATACGAGAAGTCTGGGAAGGGTATCAATTTTCCTAGTTTATTCTCTCTTGTACTGAAACTTCTACTGCTCCTATAAAAAGTAATCCAGAAACCTATGTACATTATAGAAATAGCAGCCTGTCCAACTGGTTAAAAAGTTCTGGCTCTGGAGCCAGACTGCCTAGATTCAAATCCTGTCATTTACTTGCTGCATGATCATGGGCAAATTATTTATTGACCATGGGATCTTGAGCAAGTTACCTATTTGCTGCCATTATTTGTTGTGTATTTTTATACTAGCTACCTGACATAGCTGCGCCTCCATTTTCTCATCTGTAAAATGGAGATAATAATAATCCCTAAGTCAGAGGGTTGTCATGATGATAATTAAGGTATCTAAAGTGCTTAGAACAGCACCCGACACACAGTAAGTACACTTAAGTCAGCTATTACTTTTGTAGCCATGCCCCACCTTTCCTTCTGTTACAATGAATGTTCTGCGCTTCTAAATACAACTCCTCCACTAGTCAACAAGTCCATCTCTTCTTACCTATTCATCGACTTCTCTTGCAACTGTGTCCTCTTCCTCTGGCATTATCAAATTTTCCCTTCCTACTAGATCATTTCCAACAACATACAATGTACAGGCTATATTGGCCATCTTAATTTTCAGAATAATCTCTCAACCCACATCCACTTCCTAATTATGTCCCTATTTCTTATCCTCTCCTTCTAGCAAAACTTCTCCAAAGACCTATCTATCTATAACTGCTGATTATGTTTCCTCTGAGACATAGTCCAACCAGGCTTTCATTCCTACCTCTCCACAGAGGGGTTCTGGTCCAAGTAACCAGTGACATTCAAATCGCTGGACCCAATGAAATTCTCAGGCTTCCTCTGACTTGACCTATCAGCAGTTAATCACTTCCTCCTTCTTGATAGTCTTAATTCACTTGATTTCTACCTTGGTTCTCCTCCTACCCTTGGTTCTCTTCCTCCAAAGGAGCTTTCTTGGGCTCCTTTGAATGATCTTTCCTACTCATCTTTCCAACTGCCAAACACTGGAGTGGTTGAGGGCTCTACCCCTAGATGACTATCTATATTGACTGCCTAAGTAATCTCAAGATTAAGATATATAAACACATAGATTTTAACTAATAAAGCAAATTAATATCAATTATGCAAATATAAAATTTTCAATAAAAAAAAAAAAGTTTACCATCTTCCTAGCAATTCTCCCCAAGAATATAGGATCTTCTCAGGACAATCCTTAGACACATCACCTGTTCCACTCGAGAGTTCATTATCACTCTCTGCAGAAGAAATACAAAAAGAACAAACATTATATTACATACTATATTAGATATTAATGTATTTTAAAACAAGAAACATGACTGTGTGTCTAATGAACAATCAAATAATACTTGTGCTTAATTATTATACCCATTGCAAAAATAACAGTATTTCATTAATACATTTTATCTTTAGTGCCTAAATAAATATTTTCAAATCACAAGTTTTTATGAAAATTCTTGTCTACAGTTTACACAGTATGAAATTGAAAATACCTATAAATAAATATCTTTACCCAAAGAGAGAAAATTTAAAAGCTAATGGTAACATGATTAGAAATTCTTAGATGGTGCTTTATTCATCAGTTGAACATTCTCAGAAATTAATATTTTTTTAAATTATTTAAATTATTTTATTACTATAGTTATTAATATTTACTGAGACAAATGAATACTAAAAACAAGAGTCAGACATATATATCAATATATAACACCAAGAAACATGTATAATATGATACAAACACACAACCAGAAATCTAAAAAAATTTTTTAAGGTTTTTTAAAGATATATTGATAAGTACAAGATATTTTTGACTAAGGAAAGATGAAAGTATTTGGTCTTTTAAAATGGCAACTGTATAAAACATCCCAAGATGTAAAGTAATCGTTTCAGAAAGAATAAGATAGGTTGAGTTACAGTTTACAATCAGTGGTGAAAATGAGTAATTCTAAGGTCTATAAATCTTTTGAGTGGTAACAGAGTTGGTAGAGAAAGGAGATGTAATGGGCACAATTCACCTACATTATAACAAAGACTCTGACACAGTACTACCTAAGAAAAGGCTGGAGAAGTATTGTCTGAATGATGAAATAAGCTAGATAAAAATCTGTCTGGCTGATGGCAAGTACTAAGGTTTTTTTTTTTTTGCAATACGCGGGCCTCTCACTGTTGTGGCCTCTCCCGTTGCAGAGCACAGGCTCCAGACGCACAGGCTCAGCGGCCATGGCTCACGGGCCCAGCCGCTCCGCGGCATGTGGGATCTTCCCAGACCGGAGCACGAACCCGTCTCCCCTGCATCGGCAGGCAGACTCTCAACCACTGTGCCACCAGGGAAGCCCAGTACTAAGGTTTAATCAATGCTGTTACAGTAATAGTAGGGATTGGCATTAAGTGAATCACATTGGGATCTGTGTTAAGAACAGTTTTACTTAGCATGCTACAAATCCCATGATCCAATCATAAACTCATTCATGTATCAGTGGATATATTCAACACCAAAAATTAATATGATAAATAAAGGTTTATATGACCAGGTTAAAAAATTTGGTCATATCCATCCAAAAAGATTTTATCACATATTTAGTAAAATATAAACAAACTATATGCACAGACAAATGCTTCACCATATTTAGGATGATACCGGATAAACAAGAATCATGAGGGACATTTTATTCAAAAAGTAAGTATTGGGACTTCCCTGGTAGCACAGTGGTTAAGAATCCACCTGCCAATGCAGGGGACATGGGTTCGAGCCCTGGTCCGGGAAGATCCCACATGCCGTGGAGCAACTAAGCCCACGTGCCATAACTACTGAGCCTGTGCTCTAGAGCCCGTGAGCCACAACTACTGAGCCCACATGCAACAACTACTGAAGCCCGCACACCTAGAGCCCGTGCTCCACAACAAGAGAAACTACTGCAATGAGAAGCCTGCGCGCTGCAACAAAGAGTAGCCCCCGCTCACCGCAACTAGAGAAAGCCTGCACACAGCAACGAAGACCCAATGCAGCTAAAAATAAGTAAATAAATTTATTAAAAAACAAAATAAAACAAAAAAAAACTAATGAAAGCCAAAATTTCAAAAAAAGTAAGCATTATTCTGGATGGTGGGATGAAGGTTAAAAGGATATACACTAACATCACTGCTCTAGAAATACCTCACATAAGCAACTCTATGAACTTTGCAACAAGTTCATCATGAAAATAATAGAAATGAGATATTTTTTAAAGCTAAAGTACATGAAGTATTACTAAGTACTGGAGGAATAATGTAAACAGAAACAACTGAAGCCTTAATATTAAAATATCCTAATGTGAACTACTACCCCTTATAATCCTTATAATTTTTTAAACTGAACTGAGGCACTTCTGAGAGTCATATGAAATGAATAAAGGAAACCTCATTTAAAGTGAAGTCAGGAAGCCATGGAGGGGCAGTTCTCACACATGTATCATTCACCGCAGCTTACAGACCCCAGCAGGAAGAAAGATTTCCTCCTGATCCAGCAAGGACAAGCTGCCCGCCATCTGCAGCCAATGAAGAACCCCTGCAGCCCTCCCCAATTTCCTCCGTTCCTCTATAAAAGCAAGGCCCTCTCATCCGTTCTCCAGATATGCCTATAGTTCACCATTTTTTGCTTGTTCCAAACTGCACATCTCTGCTATTCCAAAATAAACTTATTTTGCTGGTAAAATAATTGGCTGGTTTTGTTTGTTTAAAATCAGCAGGGAAAAGGGACACTATTAAAAGTTACACTGGAAAACAGGTTAAACTTAGACTCTCAGGCAAACAGACTGCTGGTCACCCCTCTTATTAATTAGTACCAAGCATAATATAAGTACTTATAAATTGATATTCAGTTAAGCAGGGTCCAAGACGTTCCTACTTTATACTCTAATTTGCTACACAGTAAATCATAATACACCAAGGTGCCAAATTATTTGATGAAGTTGTACATGCTAAACTAGAGAGTAAAATCTAAGAACACAATGAAAAGGAAAAAGGAAACAAACACTGATAGACATCATTAATCTTTTTTTTTTTTTTTTTTTTTTTTTGTGGTACGCGGGCCTCTCACTGTTCTGGCCTCTCCCGTTGCGGAGCACAGGCTCCGGACGCGCAGGCTCAGCAGTCATGGCTCACGGACCTAGCCGCTCCACGGCATGTGGGATCTTCCCGGACCAGGGCACGAACCCGTGTCCCCTGCATCAGCAGGCGGACTCTCAACCACTGCACCACCAGGGAAGCCCCATCATTAATCCTGATTATGATAAAACTCAAAAAGTATTACTGATATACAGAATCTTTCAGATTCTTATTATTCTTGTTGGGAAAGGAATCCCTAAGCATAAAACAAAACCAAGATGCTATAAGAAAGAATAAGAAATATAACTACCTATAAATTAAAAACTTCTATGAAGTAAGGTACCATATATATTAAAAAACAAGCAAAAAAATTTTTTTCCAACATATGACAGGGCTATTTTACCTAATATACCAAGATCTTACTAAGCAATAAAATAAAGAACAATCCAACAGAAAATTAGGCCAATGACATGAACATAGTACAGGTCAAAATATATAAAATACAACTAGCCAATAAAGATATTAGGGCTTCCCTGGTGGTGCAGTGGTTGAGAGTCCGCCTGCTGATGCAGGGGACACGTGTTCGTGTCCCAGTCCGGGAGGATCCCATATGCCGCGGAGCGGCTGGGCCCGTGAGCCATGGCCGCTAGGCCTGCGAATCCGGAGCCTGTGCTCCACAACGGGAGAGGTCACATCAGTGAGAGGCCCACGTACAGCCAAAAAAAAAAAAAATATTAAAGAAAGCCCTATCTCAATAATTTTTCAACGCAAATTAAAACAATGAAACATATTCACCAATTAGACTGGCAGACAGTATAAAGAATAATAATACCTAATGTTGATAAAAGTATGAGGAAACAGACAAGAAGGCTGACGTTTAAACGAGCAATCTTTTTTAATTTATTAAGATTCTAAATTAATATACCATTTGATCCAGCAACTCCACTTCTAGAAATTTATTATCCAGAAATACATATGCCAAAAATATATATGTAAGAGGATTTTCATTGCATCACTGCTTATAATAATAAGGAATTGAAAACTATCAGGAATCCATCAATAGGAGTTTTATTAACTAAATTATAGTATATCCATTCAAAAGAATACTATCCGGTAGTTTAAAAGAATTGGTGAATCTTTATATGCTAACATGAAAATCACCTAAAATATATTATTTGGTGATGAAAAGAAACAAAAGAGTAATTTTAAGTATGGTTTTATTTTAGTAAATATTATTACTTATATGATTATAAAGACCTTTAAAAATAGCTGTAAGCATATACACCAAACTATTAACAGCAATTATGTTCCAGCACCTAACAGTATCTTATCACATAGTAGGCACTCAATAAATATTTAGGGAATGTATCTTTCACTTTTAAGCTTTATATTTCTGTAATATTTTTATCTTTTAAAATAAGTATGCATAACTATAATAAGAATGGGGAAAGGATTTTAATCTTTTAATGAACCCTGTTGCTATATGAAACAAAAACCTATTTTATTATTATAAACCCCTACTAATATGTCATGAAACATGAATGATAACAATGCCTTGTCTTCCTGACAACCTCCCAAGTTATTGTCCACCACAAAAAGGAAATCAGAACTGTAAGCACCTAGACTAGCAAAGGAGAACCCCAAGGAGAAGGAAAGAAAATGGGCACACTGAAGTAAAACCAGATCCCTGATGAACAATTAAGGCAGAAACAACAGCAAGTCAGGGGCCAAATATCTGGACAAAAATAGGACTTAGCCAAGGAAGATAGGAGTCCCAAGCTTTTACTGACTGTCTGCCTTTTTTATTTATATTCCAGGCACTCTTCTCAGTTTTACAGGCATTAACTCACTTTATCCTCTAAACAACCTAATAAGGTAGTCACTACTAGTGTGCCCATTTTAAAGGTGAGGAAACTGTGGCACAGAGAGGTTAAATACTACTGACCATGAGTCTTATATATTTACTGGCCATCTTGCTAGACAGGAAGAAAGGGGGCTAAAGAAAAGTAAATTTAAGTCTCTACTATATTAGATAAGACAGAGTTTCTAGGGAGGACTAAAGAAATAAACTAAGAAAAAAATAAGAAAGAAAAAAGACACAAAGTGTGGTGGAAAACATAGTGAGGAGGTTGGCAAGTAAAACGTGACAAAGAAG